ATCTTATGGTTTTAGGGTTTGGGATCTGCATTCTCAAATGATCCAAATACAATCCCTAGGAACAAGGCACCCTCACGATCCTCTTGCAATCCTTACCTTTTTTTGCATTTTAACCCGGCCCCAACCCTCTTCTCAACAGTAGCCTCAGAAATGAACAGAGCATGCCGAAACTCGTAGCAGATGTAAGATAACGGCTTCAACACCTATTTCCCAAATATCTTCAACAGGACTTGATAATATTTAATTGTTACTCAGTTGTTCTTCTGCCACCAAATAGAGGCTCTTAGCAGCAGATAGCTGAGGAATAGATAGGAAACGGAGAACGGAGGCTGAAGCAGCTGTGACCATTCCATCCAGCAATGGAGCTTGGGTACTGCCCCCCCTCAGTAACAGTTGGATAATAATTATAATATGGTCATATTTTTAATATAGGCCTTAATCGGACCCCTAATGTAGACTGTTACTGGAGGGGGGCAGTAGCAAAAACGGAGCCATTTCAGAGCTTGCTTTTTGCGAAGGCGTGAGAATGAATCCGTCGTGCGTGAAACAGGCATTGCAGAATCCGTCCAACGCTCGAAGCATTTTTGATGAAGGCTTGTAGAGCAGCATTGTCAGGGGTGTGGTGACAGAGGTCTTGCGGGTTTGGTGGCGATGGTGGCGTGAGGGCACCCGTTTCTGGGGGAGGTTACCCCATCAGAAATGCAATGGGGACAGCGGGCAGCACTTCGGGAGGTTCCCCACAGGAAAAACGTGTTGCTGAAAGCTCCTGCGCCTGCCTGACCCTGGACGAGCAGTGGCTCAAGCAAGGATAGACCCCTCTTGAGATTTCTTGGATTTCCCTCCGGCTGCAGAATCCTGGGAATGCCTCAGTGATCCTACGATTTAGGGACCATGCAGTGCTACCCCTGACACAGGTGATTATGTGGCAGCCGCTACCAAGGCAGCTGGTGAACTCTATGGCTACGGCCACTCGAAAGTGCTGTTCAAGCCTACCAAGGCAGTGGAAGCCCAGTTCCGACCAACAGCCGCCGATGCTATGTCGTATTTTGTTGGGCAGAAAGCCGTGAAGGACGGTCATAAGGAGG